TATGTGCTACTTCTGAGCAAGGTTCAAAATTTCGATATGTATCGGCTGATACATATCGTATCGGGGCCTTCCCAATACACCCCTACAGGGGGTGTTTCGGGTCAGGCAGTGGTTCAGGGGATAGATGGGCCTTAAACCGACCCCCCTGAACCAGATTCGAAAAAAAAATAGAGAAACAGGCACTGATACAGGCCGAAAAGCCTATGCTGAGGATGTTGTTGCGGCATCTCAAGAAGTCAGGTATGTTTTGAACAAACTAACTGTGTTGGACTTGGGGGAGGATTCTTCTGCTGTGAAGGTTAGTTCGGAAGAGGGGGAGGAGCTGTGGAAGGATTTGTTGATGGCAATGCTGAAAGAGAGGGCAGAGGTATGACTGAAGGAAATAGGGTTATAGCCGCAAGTGGCAACAAGGATAGTAAGGATGTGAGTCACACCAGTGATTATCTTTGCTTTGAAGAGGTGAAGATGGGAAGGTTGGGTGTTGACTGAGGTCGAAGGAGCAAGGTAGAAGAGAAGAATGAGGAGCCGATTAATGGGCTAATCAATAAGAAAATGTGTGGCTCAAGAAATCCTCATGTTGTGCATGTGGCGAAAAACGTTTCTAGGTTGAAGCTTGATCTGGCGAGGGCAGGACCTACAAAAAATTATAAGTGTTCTGCCATTTGGCAATGATCATAGGGGGATGATGAAGCAGGTTCAGTCTTCAGATCCCCTCAGAGAAGGAGCAACAAGACAACAAGGTGAGTATTGACGATCTTGAATCTAACGCAAAGGTGATGTTGTGAAGTAATGAAGAAAAGAATGAAGTTTCAAGATGTGTGCCTCTTCAAAACATAGTGGAAAGATAAGTCACAGATGGTAAAAGTCTTGGTCTGTTTTTCTAGGGTGGTGAGGAGTTTGCTAAGAGGGCCTTTGAGAAGTTTGAAAGGAGGGAAGAAAAGTTGAATAAAGAAATCTTTGGGGAAAGAGGAGAGGTTTGGAATAAGGAGGATACAGGCCAGGAGGATAAGTTCGTAGAAGAATATTGAGGCGCCTTTTTTTGCAAGTTGTGTGCGTCTCTGGTCAGGTGTCAGGTTGGGGGTGTTCCAGGATTTGGGGGCTTTTGGTTTTTTTTTTTTGGTCTTCGCAATAGTTTGGTTTGTTGTGTCTTTCTATTTGTTGAGTCTTGTTGAATGTTTGATTTGTTTGGGGGCTTCTTTAGGTCGGTATGTTGGTTTTTGTAGTTGTGTCCAGTGCTGAAGCAGAGTATAGAGCRATGGCTCATGGGGTTGCGGAAATCATGTGGATAAGAAATCTGTTAGGTGAACTGGGTTTCGTAGTAAGCAATCCTACGTCACTCTACTGTGACAATAGGCTGCCATCAATATTGCTGCTAATCTAGTTCTGCATGATAGGACGAAACACATTGAAGTGGACAAGCATTTTATCAGAGAGAAACTTGAAAGTGGAGAAGTGTGCA